CTTGGTTGTAACACCCTCATTTCTTTCTGAGCTTCAAATAGCTTGCATTTGGTAAGTATATTAAGTATATCCCGGCATACCTAGCAAAGCAGCTGGCTGGCAGGCAATGCTGCCTCAGTGACTAGGAAAGGCTAGTTCTATTCTGACCTTCTGTGTGGGTCACTTTGCACAGCTTGAGGGCTGCTGTGGACACCTCACAGGCTGCTAGAAAAGCAAGACCTCCATGAGCTCAATAGGCTAGCATCAGCAGCTCCGGCTGAGGAGAGGGCCACGCTGCTTTCATGGGGCTGCCCTGTATGTTCTGCAGTGGGGCAGCTTCTGGGGGCAGCTTCAAGGCTGCACTTAGTTCTAACTGTTGCCCATATGGAAGCTATTCAGAACCAAGACATACTGCCCAGCTTAGTAACGCAGAGGGGAAAGTGACCAAGCTTACTTAGCTCACTCTCCACTTGTGGCAGGGTTCTAATTGTGCTGTGGACTTTTCTTCTTGTTTCACAAGACAGCTTCACACCTAGCATGTTTCAGCTGTAGATCTCACAAGGTCCAGTAAGAGCCATGCTTAGTTCCTGTCACCCTCTTTGCTCCTTGTGTATCTCATGTCAAGGGGCTATAATAAGATGCTAAGGGGGCATTTGACCCCTCCCCTACTACATACTATATGCGTGCAACACCCTGAGCCTATCATTTCAGTTTTGCTTTTGGATTACATCATATTACCAGATTAAATAGCCCCTCTGGTTTTCATCTCATATCCTTGTAAAGAGCCCTTTTTACCTCAGTTTTGCTTTTGAGATACTTAGTCCCCAGGCATTCTGGGAGGGCAATAACTCAAGGCTTTCTTTAACTCTGCAATAACCCAGCTTTCAGCTACAGGGCTTGTTTCATGGCAATGAAATCACTAGTTAGCAGCCTCCCAAGCTTTGTGTAATTAAATCAGGCCTCACAGTAAGAGGGGGTGGTTTACCTACTCATTCTACCACTAGTTCTGTAATGCCAAATGCAAGGGAGGACCACTTTGGATCCAGGGTGGAGTCCTCCTGGAACCTAACATGGAACCACTTCACTCCTGGTTGTAAACAAAGCACTTAATGATTTGGGGGCTCTGTCTGGGGCTCTCTGTACTTGGGTATAGTGCTCTGCTTATTTCGTTCCAGCAGGTGAGGTGCAGAGGAACAGGACAGGAGGAACTATCTAGCACTGACCCAGTACTGTGTAGTGAGAAGTAATGTTAATATTAATACTAGCATTCATAACATCAGTAAGTTGTTCAGGGAACCTAACTGTCAGTTTTCAGTTAAGTTAAACAGCCCCTTAACCCTCAAACCTTAAAATTAGAGTCTATAAAACTTTCATCTGATTGGCTCTGAGGAAGTGCCACTTTGAGTCTATCTCACAACCTGCCCCCAGGATACCTACTTTGTCTCCTGAGGAATGCCCCTGCCGCCCCCGCTCTGCTCTCCCTCCCCTTACCTGGGCCATCTTCTCAAGCTTGGATTTTATATCAGCTAGCTCTAGCTGGGCCTCCTGAAGTTTTGTTTTCAGTTTTTGGTTTTCGGTCAGGGCGCTCTCGTAGAGCTGTGAAGGGAACAGAACCAGGTCACTGAGTGGGCTCCCAGTAGTAGTAGAACTCATACTGTCTGCTCCAAGCCACCAAGGTCAACTGGATGGAGAAGGGGAAGGTGTTCTATGGAGAGTCACTGTTATCTGGCATCCAAATGACATGATCTGGATGGCAAGGAGAAAGCCGACACTCCAGTGGTAGTAAGGCTAAACTCTGGGAGAAAAAACAGTCACCCATTCCTCCCACTTGGTCTCTGCACTGCTTCAAGTGTGGCTTCTACACAAAACAGACTTACTGTTTCTGGAACCAGTGTGTTGATTTTTGTCAAATTCTGCTTAACCAAAACATCAACAAAGAAAAATTTCCTTAACCAAATGTTATCTCAAACACCTGAAAGGGAATGTTTTCAAAGTCCAAAGAGCAAGAACCAAGAGAAACGGGATGTAAATGACTTAACTCCTCTCCAAGCCCAGAGAGATGGATGATAATGAATTTTTAAAAACTAAGACCAAAAAGTATTTGGTTGATATTCAAAACACCTTATTAAAAGCACATGTTTCTTAAAAATAAGCCTAACCAAGTAATTCTCATGGGCTCCGACATACTGCATTATACTTTTTACACTTTTTTTACACTTCTTAAAATAGTAAATTCCTTACTTTCCCCTTCACTTCTAAATATTTGATTCTAGGCATACACTTTCTGCAATAAAAACAATACATAAATAGTCATGAGTGGGTAGAGAGGTGAAGAATTAATAACCTTTTATATTCCTTATTTGTAATTTTGCTCTTTTTTTTTTCTATTGGGGAAAGGCTAGTAGGTTTATATACCATAAGCTAAGAACAGGAAACCAGGAAAAAGATCCTACTTTTTTATAATCCCTGTTGCTGTCCTCTTCTACCCGGCTGGTCAGGCTGGCTAGGCGAGCCTCTCGGGCCTCCCGACGGGCTCTTGCTGAGGCGCGGTCACTGTAAGAATCGCTGCTGGTTGGGTTACTGCCTCCTGACTCCAACCTATAAGACAAATGTTGAAGATAAAAGTTGTTCTTGAGAATGAAGTGTGTGTGGGTATGCACAAGGACACGCACACGTATGTGTGTGTGTATTAATAAGTCTAGGCTAGTCTGTGCCTTTTCTAGGAGGCATTTGAGAGCTCTGGCCAGAAACTTGCCTTCTGTGAATCTGTTAGCCAGTGTGCCAACTCTCATGGTCACACTGCATGAGTGAGGAGCACACGAGCACGAAAGCTGCTTGGGAGAGAGGCCATTACTTGCCAAGAGTAGAGCTCACTTGAAAAGCTGGTGGCTTGGACCCATGTGCTGCTTTAACCCTTGAGCTTTCAAGTTAATTTGGAGCTGAATAGATTCACTAAAGAGTGTACCTTTAAGAGTCAAAGTTTCTTGGGTCTGAAGGGCTCTTGGAAAATAGTTATAATGAAGTGCCCATGAATCAGAAACACATGGGCTTGGAGAGTGAGCCAGCGGGGGAAGAGGGGGGAATGGCAACCATGGCAAGATGCTTGGGCTTGTGGGTGCACAACAGGTTTGCTGGAGTCAAATATCCTCAAACCACCCATTTTCTCTCCTGTATCCACATCAATGCTTGTGCTTGTAGCTAAGATTTATACATCTTCTGGCAAGTAAACTTCTAGAGCTGCTATAGTGGTTTTACTTCTAGCACTGCTAAATGTGTCAGGTCTGAGAAGACTCTTGCTAATTACCAGTTCCGTGTCCTAGTGTCCTTCTAACCCTCCACTCCAGCCTCTCTTTTCCTGAGCTTTGCTCCTTGTTCATTAGGGGTAGCACCTATCAAAGTGCTGTGTACAAACCAGACTTCCAGAGCACTAACCCCTGAACTGCTTGGTTTGCACCATCCCGGCTGTGCAACTGTCTGGTTTCTGCAGAAGCTGTTGGCAAGGCTGGAGGAGCTGAAGTAAGGCGGAGGACAGTAACAGCCAGGGCAGTGCAGCAAGAGTAAAGTGGTGGCTGCAAAGGAAGCTGGGGCCAATCTTAGAGATGCCAAGACCTGTATTCTTTTCACCCTCCCCATCCCTGTTCATGGAAATCTTTACATTGATGATTTTTCTGCCAACAAAAGCAATACATTAATAACGTATCTACCCCATAATCTTGCTTAAGAAATAACTGCTAATAACAGTAGATTTCATATACTTCTATAATGTCAAATTCAAAAATGTTAAAAAAAATTCCCATAAAGCTTGATAAGACCTACACTGTCTAACTCCTACTCCCTATATTTATGATTACCTGGGCATCTTACCATGTAAGTAAAAATATACTTCCTCCTTCAAAAAATGACTATACAGTTCATTCCACGGTTATCTGGTAATTTAACCAAATTTCAGGTGATAGAAACATTTTTAGCTATTAGTATATCTAATTTTTAGATATACTAAAATTTTTAGTTATTAAAAATTTTTAGCTATTAGTATATCTACTGACAATACTAAAATGTGCAAATTTATTTATAAGTCTTGGTACAGTTGGCCAATTACCTTTTTCGGTGGTGGTGGTTTTCTGTTTGAGACAGGGCCTCAGACACCACAGAATGGCCTCAAACTTGCTATGGGGAAAATGGAATTCTTTTTTTTTTTTTTTTTTTTTTTTTTTGAGACAGGGTTTCTCTGTGTAGCTTTGGAGCCTATCCTGGCACTCTCTCTGGAGACCAGGCTGGCCTTGAACTCACAGAGTGCTGGGATTAAAGGCGTGTGCCACCAAAGCCCAGCTGAAAATGGAATTCTTATGGTCCTATTTTGGTGTTTTAAACCATGAGGAATATGTGCAGTTATTCAGTACTGTTGTTTCTCTACTTTGTTTATTAAGGTACACAGCTTTCTCCATTCTCTTGTCATGCCCCGAGATAATGCTCTTACACATTAGGGCTTTTTACAAATGTCTAATATATCTCACAATTTTTTCTCTTCACTTTTTATCTGTTTATAGTAATTCTTTCTTTTTTTTTAAATTTAAAAAGCATCAATAGTCTCTTACTTTTATTTAGTTTTTTTTTTGAGACAGGGCTTCATATTGCCAAAGTTGTCCTAGAATTTTCTATGTAATCCAGGCTGACCTTGAACTCTTGATCCCTTTTGCTTCAGCCCTCCAAGTGCTGGGATTAGAAGTATTAGTCACCATGCCCAGCTATTTACAGTTGTTTTTAATAGCAATGATATAAAATTATATGTAATGGAACTTGACACTTTATAATCTTTTGGGTTCTGTTTGGGAAGTTGTTTCCTATATATAGATAATTAAATATTATCTTGTACTATTTTTGTAGAAAAGGCCTTTCTCTTTTTAAAAAGGTAACTAATGGAAATATATTTCTGTTGTTTTTTTTTTAGTATGAATTGAAGGATGTATTTTCTCAAAACAAAATAGTTCATTTTCTCAATCAATAAGTCTCAATCAATAAGTTCACCCATGAGATGAAAATTCACATTACACACATGACTAAAGGTGCTATGAATTGTTTTGGCAGTCTCTTTGCTTATTATGTTTATACATTTATACATTTACTTATTTACTTATAGATGTGTGCATGTGTGAGTGAGTGTGGAGGCCAGAGGCCAGCCATGAGGAGCTGGTTCTTCCCATCTACCATGTGGGCCCCATGATCCTATTCAGTTGTCAGGTGCAGTGGTTGAGCCATCTCACCAGCTCCTCTGTCTTTATTCTTGAACTAGTACCTCAGTATTTTAATCATGAAAAGTTTATGCTATATTTTGAAGTCTGTAGATAAAGTGTCCTTCAATGTGGCCATTGTAACATAGCTGAATCCTCTAAAGATGAGTTATAGCAAAAATACTACTCTTTGACTAAGTCATTTTATGTTACTTTATAAGTAAATTATTTATTTTTGGCTGGTAGTTTGTGAGAGGGTAGACAGAAGGAGAATACATATAAATTTTAGCTTGTATTAACAAGGTAGAGCTATAGCTCAACTTCCAAACAGATTATGAGATCAGTTTGCCCCACGCCATCCTAGAACTACATCTGCTCTCTCTACCCCACCTCTGAATTTCTCCATCACAGGAATAGTGAAGATGGGATTCATTTAGTTCCAAAGTTGCTATTATTTTTATTTTCTTCTTTAGGAAGATCAGTTTTGTACCATAGATACTATGTGAAAAATTATAGAGGATTTATTTATTTACTTATTTATTTATTTTTATTTATGTAATTGCAAAACAGGCTTTTAGTTCATGTGATGAGCTATTCACAAGTACCGTTTAGATATGAGATATGTGGCTGGGCTCACTATAAAGTAACAATATCATCTCAATCTCAACTCAGGGTTTCACTTGGCAATAACCCTGTCTTCTAAACTATCAGATTAGGTTAACTGCCCCTTCCCTGCACCCACAATACCTGCCTGCACGTCTAAATGGCACTTTCTGTATCCTCCTGAAAGGCTTTGTTGCTCCAGCAGTTTGTAAACCAACTGCAGGTAAGGTCAAGGCCTGGAGCTGGTGCTTAGGATAATTCATCAGTTGGAAGTACACAAGGTGAACTGGAAAGATCTGGTAGCAGGAGGGTGAGCTGAAAGCTGTTCTATAATACTGGGCAGAAGCAAGTCTGAATTATTGTGGAGACTGAGGAAATGAAAGGGAAGGCTTTGAAGAACACTATTAAATGTTATATGACACTAAATTTAACTGGACATGCATTCAACTCACAAGAATTAAGCATGCATATAAAACAGAATTCTTACCTAGAAAGTCTTTCATGCTAGAGATAGGAGACAAAAACAAAAGAGAAAAAGAAAATAGCATTAGCAAGAGACTAATTTATATTTCCATTCATAAATGTACTTTTCAAATCAGATCAACCTCACAGTGGAGATAGGAGTTGCTAAAACGATGAAGGGAAGCGACTGGACTGACAGCACAAAAAGCCACTTAGCTCTAAGTCACACTTCTTGGCATTCCTTAACTCACCGGATATGAGGCTCTGGGAATGGCACCCTTTCAAACTGGCAGACCCCCAAAACACAAATCGATCAAATGCTCTCCTCTCCACCAACTAGACAACCAAGCTGTGCTGCAGGGGTGGCTGCCTTTCACTTTCAGGTGGCACTGAGGTGTGCTATTCATCCTAGTAATTTCCTTCAGTTCCCAGCCACCCCAGCCTTCCCCGAGTAAACACTGCAATTTATAAACACTAAAACTCAGGCCAGTTCCTGGCTTCCACCAAGAGCTACAGTAAAGGAGAAAGAATGAGGGAGCTGTGGGGAGGCAAAGTCCCCCCCTAGTCCCTAGATGCTGGTAAGAACTTAAGAGTAATGAGGCATTTTGAGATCTCAGAAGAAAGATTTTCATAGATGCAAGCTATAGGTTTAATCCTTGCTTAGAAAAAGTGACTACTATGTCTGCCTCTCCCATTTTTTTAAAAAAAAAATATAAATGACCTTTGCCCTTCTATCCTTTCATAAAAAGAGAACTCAAGCAAACAATCATTTACTTGATTTATGGGTTTATTTACTCCCTCCTTTGAGATGTTAAAAGAGTCACAAAATCCAAAGGGTAGACAGCAGAAGAATGAAGAGAAGCAGTGTACAGTGATCTACAAGAGGAAGAGGAGTCCTCAAACTGGGAGCAGCACACACGGCACTGCTCTGTTAAATCTTGGAAGTCACTGTTGTGTCAGCTCAGGCATACAGCAGTCTGACATGTCACACCCGCAAGTTGTACTGGGACTGTAGTGTCCAGCACATCTCAGAGGTGGTTTCTATGGAGCTCCTATTCAAGTCAAGAGTTGTACTTAGAATGGTCACAAGCACACATCCTAATTGCTGTGGCTACGGAACACAGATGTCTTCCATGGGTCTTTAACAAGTTCCCTGGCAATTCTATGATGTATCTCTAGTTAAGTACTGTTGGACTAAGCATACATTTAAATGATTTATTTTATTGTGTATGCATGCATGTGCGCACGTGTGCCACAGCACAGTGTGAAGGTTAGAGGTGTGTGCTTAGGACACAGAGTTTTCTCCTTCTTCCATTTGGGTCCGGGGAACTGAATTCATATCATCAGGCTTGGCAACAAGTATCTTTACCCGTGTAATGATCTCACCTGAACAAACATTTTAAACACGGAGACAGATCCCTGTGGCGATGTCTTGCGTGTACAAATAAAGCCTGTCTGAAGGTCAGAGAATGGAGTTTGCCACTAGCTAACCATAGAGGTCTGGAGGTCTGTATAGACAAACAGGAAGTGACATGGCTAAGTGGAAACACAGACACTGCTCGCAACAATTTCCAGGTGGCTAGCTGAGGTGATCCAGCCTCACAGACTACTTTAGCCAGGATTTGAAACAAGCCCTGCACTTGCCCATTACTCAGTGGACTGCACAACAAATGATACAGCTTTTCAGGATCCCCTAAGGATGCTGTCACCACCAGACACCAGGAAGTAAATTTAAGAACACAATGTCCACATTCCCAAGAGGTGGGGTGGGTGGTTTTTGGTCACTCATTGGCTTATGGATATTTGTCACTGCTTAGGGGGATTGGTTACAAAATGTTGCTGGCTATGATGAGGAAGAAACTTGAACAAAGAGGATTACGATTACATTCCAGGTTTTTGTTTTGAAAAAAGAAAAAAAAGAGGAATACAGATACAATAGGATAAAAAGGGTAGATTATTGAATCTATTCTGAAAAGAAAAAATGGAGGATAAAGAAATGATAAAAGGTGGATTACTGGATCTACTCTTAAAAAGCAACTACTAGTTTTAAATATTTTACATTGGATTGGATTTTTATATATTGTGTACAAATGTTGTATATTGATACAAATTGAAATTAATTTTGCTAAAACATACTATACATACTTTTCCTAATATTGTTCAAGGTATTGTACCTATACAGCTCATTTAACAATGTAATATAAATTTCTAGTCCTTAAAAGTTGTTATTAACTACATAGGATAATAAGGAAATGTAGTTTAGTAATTAGTCAATTATTATAATTGAACTTGTAGTCACATTAGGTATGTTTACAAGGTCAAACAGATATTTTAGAAAGACAGGTTGTCTTCAAACACTTCAGAGATCTATGGAATATGGCATTTAACATGTTTTAATAACATAGGTTTTTTTTTTATGACAATGACACATGTCTGCTCCTGACAATACCAATCTACATCAGAGAAGATGGTGGGCACTGAAGAAACTCCTCATGGAGTTTACTTTCTTTGTGGCAAAGGTAAGCCACTGGGCAAGAAAACGCCCTTGCCTCAACTGCTGACAGGATGCTGTCCAAGTTGGACAAACAGGACACCGAAAAGAGTGACTGCAAACCTTGCCAAGACTCCAGTCCTTCAGAATATCCTGCTTCACAGAAATGTCTGTCAGGTATGCTAGGCCTATAGGCTGAAGATGGATGCCCCAATGTTGCACTTTGGGTGACTATCCAGGCAGCCAACTGTTTCTGTCATTTCTCACATTTTTTGGAGAAAAACTGCTTACTCAGTTAATATTATTTCCTTTTCAGGTCTCTGAGGGAGTTGAAGACTGGGTAGTACAGTTATAGTTTTCCTTGTTTACCAGACTCAGAAAAGAAACTCGAGAAGATGTGTTAAGTATAATAGGTTTGAAAGACATTAAAAAGATAATTTGATAATGCAAATTAGAATAGAAAGTAATTTAGGTACAAGACTTTGAACTCATCAAGAAAGAATAGATAATGGAATATTTTCTCTGAATTTTTCAAATGCTAATGGACTAGACATTGTTGATGTAGTTATTGCTGTTATATATGTTGTATGCAGTTTTTCTTATATTCGTTATAACCTTTATTTTTAGACAAAAAGGGGGTATATGTGGTGATATCTTGCTTGTACAAATAAAGTCTGTCTGAAGATCAGAGGGTGGAGCTTGCCAATAGCTAACCATCGAGATCTGGAGGTCTGTACAGACAGACAGGAAAGTGATATGGCTGAGCGGAAGAGGATATAAGCTGGAAGAAACAGGAACTTGTGGTCTTGACTACTGAGATGCTAAGGAGGAAAGGTGGCTTTGGCTTGCCTTCTTCTCTCTAATTTATCAGCATTTTCCTCTGTATCTGACTCTGGGTTTTATCACTTAGACCAATTAAGAACTCCTTTTTACAGGGCCCATTTTGAGGTTAGAGGGAAACATTTAGAAAAGTTTATGGTTTATCTGTAATGTTTCTCATAGACTTGTGATTTTTTTCTTGAGAATTCTAAAATTTAGAAATCTAGAATTATGACATTTTTTCTTTTCTTACATTTATATATCTGTTTTTGTTGTTCTGTTCTCTTTTTTGTTTCGACAGGGTCTGGCCACAAACTTGAGTTCTGGGATTAAAGGTGTGAGTAACAGCCAGTTATAATATATTTATATAGGGTTTTAAACAAATCATATCTATATCTGTATCCTATAAGTTCATGGACCATCAATACTGTCTAAAGTTTTTCTCTTCAGCATTAAAAATGATAAGTACAACATCAACAACAACAAAACCAGGGCTCAGCAGGTAAAGGCACTTGCTACTAAGTCTGACTACTTGAGTTCAATTCCACATTGTACAAGGAAAAAACTAACCTCCAAAAGTTGTCCTATGGCCTCTACATCAATGCTATGGCATGTGGACACACACATATACAGTAAGTTTTTCTTTAAAATTTTTTTTATCACCTCTCTATGTAACAGTGTCCTGAGAGCCGAGCACATTACTCTCTATGTGACAGTGTCCTAGGAGCTGAGTATGGTGGCATAGGTCTGTAATCACAGCCATTCAGGAGGCTGAGGCAGGAAGAGCACATGACCAGAGGCTATGTGGGCTACAGAGTGAGTTCAAGGTCAACCTGGGCAATTTTGTAACATCTTGTCTCAAAATAAAAAGAAGTCAGGGTATACAGCTCAGTGGAGCTCCTGCTTAACATGTGGGGGACCCTAGCTTCAATTCTCAGGATGGGTGGGGGTGAGAGAAAAGAATTAAACTCAGAAGTGAGGGTGTTGGCTATGTCCATTCACTAGCTTTGTGGGAAGATCAGCCTTATAGCATGTAAGTGAGTTGAAGTCTACCACCCAGGAAAATGTTAGCTGGGACTTATCAAATACTTGTGAATAGCTGCGACTGAACATCATACTGTAAATTGGGAAGAGACTGTCTTGTACTTAAAGCCTATGGTATGCAGCAGAGCCTTGTAGGAGGGGCCCTGAGAAAGAGGCCTAGCTGGTTGCATTACAAGCCAGGAGAATACTGAGAGCACACTTCATGGGCTTGTCTGGAACACAAAGAGGAGACCATGTGAATGTGTGCTGTGGAGGTTCCAGTTAAGAAGCTTCTACAAAGATGAGATCTGAGAAGATGACGGTAGAGAAATTCATGTATACACATGCCCATAGTTCTAACAATGACAACGGACTGTTATAGTGAGTGCTTTAAAGTCTTAAGTTACCTGAAATTCACCTGCTATCTTGCTCCCAGTTAACATCCTTAGTATTGACAAGGCCGACCATGGTAAGTGCTAGTAACGAGAGCTGGCCGAGTTAGTTGTTCATGTCTCTAAGTGTGATATTCTTGCCTGGCTCTAGGGTCTAATTTCTACCCTTCTACCAATGAAGCTTAAGCAAATAACCACTATCCATCGGTAAGAGTTACATGTGATCACTGGGTGGGGAGGAAATACGTTCCTCTTTCCTCCTCTATTCTTTTGTTACAGGGACACTGTGTTGATTCCGATGCAGCGCAGTGAAGTTC